ATTCCAAAACTTTATCTTCTGGTGAAGCCATTCCTTTGTTGATTTGGATGTATGCTTTGGGTTGTTGTCATGCTGAAAGATGAAGTTCCACTTCATGTTTAGCTTTCTAGCAGAAACTTGAAGATTTTATGCCAGTATTGACTGGTATTTGGAACTGTTCATAATTCCCTCTACCTTGACTAAGGCCCCAGTTCCAGCTGAAGAAAAACAGCCCCAAAGCATGATTCTGCCACCACCACGCTTCACTGTGGGTATGGTGTTCTTTTGGTGATGTGCAGTGTTGTTTTTGTGCTGAACATATCTTTTGGAATTCTGGCCAAAAAGTTCAACCTTGGTTTCATCAGACCATAGCACGTTTTCCCACATGCTTTGAGAGGCTTCAGTGTTTTTGTATGTTTTTGCAAAATTTAGCCGGGCTTGGATGTTTTTCTTTGTAAGAAAAGGCTTCCGTCTTGCCACTCTAACCCATAGCCCAGACATATGAAGAATGCGGGAGATTGTTGTCACATGTACCACACAGCCAGATATTCTTGCAACTCCTTTAATGTTGCTGTAGGCCTCTTGGCAGCCTCCTAGTCCAGTTTCTCTTCTTTTCATCAATTTTGGAGGGACGTCCAGTTCTTGGTAATGTCACTGTTGCACCATATTTTCTCCACTTGATGATGACTGTCTTTACTGTGTTCCATGGTATATCTAATGCCTTGGAAATTCTTTTGTACCCTTCCCCTGACTGATACCTTTTTAACAATGAGATCCCTCTGATGCTTTGGAAGCTCTCTGCGGACCATGGCTTTTGCTGTAGGATGCGACTAAGAAAATGTCAGGAAATATCTACTAGAAAGCTGAACTTTATTTGGGGTTAATCAGAGGCACTTTAAATGATGGCAGGTGTCTACTGACTCCTATTTAACATGATTTTGAATGTGATTGCTTAATTCTGAACACAGCTACATCCCCAGTTATAAGAGGGTGTGCACACTTATGCAACCACATTATTTTAGTTTTTTATGTTTACTTCCCAGTCTAAAAGATTTCAGTTTTGTTTTTCAATTGAGTTGTACAGTTTATAGGTCACATTAAAGGTGGATAAAGTTCTGAAATGATTTATCTTTGGCTCATTTTTTTTACATCACAGAAACCTGACATTTTAACAGGGGTGTGTAGCCTTTTTATATCCACTGTATGTATTAACTGCTTCAGTGAAACTTGAGCAAAATGTTATTTTGTCCCCATTCTAGACGTCTAATGCTTGTCTTGCCATTGTATTGCTTTGTACAGGCTTATGCAAATTCAAATTTTGTAAACCGCCACCAGTAAAAAAAAAAAAATAAAAAAATTTGACGCCCTGAACCACGTCTTTTATAGTTTCTTTCTAGCCTTTTGCTACATCATTTAAATAGGACAGATGTAATGGTGGAATGAGAAAAGCAGGGGGTCGGTTCTTCCATAACAGCATACTAATATCCGTTAGTCCACTGGTTTGCAACCACAGTAAATATTCTGATGGGGTTATACTTGGTTTGATATATAAACTGTTAATGCTAGGAGTTGGTGTGCAGTTTCATTATACAGTACACAGCCAGGCATTGCGGTATTGCACCAATCTACTGCTCTTATTTTGTCCACAGTCTGGTGTTACAAGAACCCCTGCTTGTCTAAAGCCATACATACGTCAATTTAATGGGCAAGCTGATTGTACCCATAACTTGGGTGCAAACAGGCTGTCAGATGTTTTGCATTCAATTAGGCTAGGTTGACACCTGTGCGGCCGTGCCATTCATTTGAATGGGCTACCTTGCCCTGGGACACGCAACAAAGAAGTCCCTGCACTATTTTTTTAAATCGCAGTCCGCATGGGAACTGAGGTTCCCAGTACAGTTGTTATTTCCGGTGCGGACAGTATACCATTAGGATTAATAGCACCTGCCCGCTGGTCTCGCATTTCTCTGTGCGGGTGGCTGCGGCTGCCGGTATTTTTGCGAGTCCCTCAGCCTTCCTGCTGGTAGCTATAGCATCTAGCAATAATCGTTGTCTTATGCCAGCTAGAAGAACTTTCACTCACAGTGGAAGGAAAGAAAATCGAGTAATCTGTGAGCTGCTTTAGTGAGCAATTGTCACACTACTTGGGGGGTGGGGGGGTAGTGCCAGGAGGTTTCTAACCTTCGTCGATCAAATTTATTCATACCCATCTCAAAGTAAACTCGCAGAGCTACATCGGGGCTGGGTTCGGGAGATTTTCAGAGAACTCACTCTAAAGTGTATCACTAGCAAGAACTTTGTTGCTTTGGGGAACTGTTAAAACTTTTGGCATATTTGTTTAATCGTGTCCCATTGGGGCAAATACCTTCACTTTCTGTCCCAGAGTTTCAACAGTGAACATCTCTTTTAGGCTCCATTCACACTAGGATTACGGAACCTTTTTTTGGGCACAGAGCGTCCCACGATATTGTTTGCGCTTGCGTGCCGAAAAACGTGCTGTGATTGTGGCAAAAACGCCCTGCGTTTTCAGGTGCCATTGAAATGGATGGCACCTGAACACGCGATCATGTGGTTTCACACTTTTAAATGCGTTTTCAAATTATGGGCAGAATCGCAGTGATTCTACCTGCAATTTGAAAAACCCTACTGTGAATGCTCCATAATGAAGGCTCACCCAGACAAATAGAGAGAGGACATTTCCCCAGCAGGGACACAATAAAAACCTGAAGAAGTTTTGTAACTTTTTCCTAATATATCAAAATGAGTGTGTTTGGGCTGGATCTTTTTCTTTAAAATATTTTTTGCCCTGATTTTTAGATTTTAAGTGCTATGCAGTGATTCTGTTTTTGTTGCTCTTTCTCATAATAAGTCTGAATTAGATGACTCTCTGAAACCATGCTGTTTCCGTTGTGTTTGCTGCCTCTAGTGGCAAATCTACATATTTCTATATTACAATAACAAAAATATGTAAGGGTAAAAATTTGAACATCACATAAATGTTAAGGTAAATTATTTTTGTTATATATAAAATGTGTGTTTATGTATAAAGTCAGTGCGTTGCTATATTATTATAAAACAATATTAATGCTATGTGACTAAATAGAAAATTATGGAGATTGCTGCAACCACTCACCAAGTGTACTCTCACTAAAATATATATATATATAAATATAAATGTGGTGCGCTAGCTCCTCAAAAAAGAAAAAAAACAAAATAATAAACATAAGTCATCAAATCTATCAAAAAATAGTATCCCAGTCTCAAATATAATGTCCTAATAGTTTTTTATGAGGTGTCTGGCATCCGCTTCGAAAACATTTTTCTTTCCTTTGTGAGTACTCTCCCTGCTTACTTTATAATTGGACCTACCTAATAGCATAGGTCATATGAGCTTGTGGTTACATTTTTTCTTTCATGCTGCAGCTAGGTTCTAATAGATTCTAATAAAGAAGAACCTTGCTTTTCATGGGTTTTACACTATGGATTAGTCTGGATGGAGTCCGGTCTCTTAATCACTTGCCTACCGGGCACTTTTACCCCCTTCCTGCCCAGGCCAATTTTCAGCTTTCAGCACTGTTGCACTTTGAATGACAGTTGCGCAGTCATGCAATACTGTACCCATATGATATGTTTATCATTTTTTTCACACAAATAGAGCTTTCTTTTGGTGGTATTTAATTGCCACTGGGTGTTTTATTTTTAGCTCTATAAACAAAAAAGGCAAAACATTTGAAAAAAGTGTTTCTTTGTTTTTATTATAAAATATTGCAACCAGGTAATTTTTCTCCTTCATTGATGTGTGTTGATGAGGCTGCACTGATAGGCAGCACTGATGGGCACTGAGAGGTGGCACGGATAGGCAGCACTGACTGTCGTTACTGCTGGGCGCAACTGCTTGTACAGCACTGATGGGTGGCACTGGTGGGAGGCACTGCTGGGTGGCACTGCAGGGCACTGATCATCAGTGCCGATCTGCTCTGTGACAGTTGCCGGCTATCGGACGTCATATGACTCCTTCCCAGAACTGGACAACCGCGCTGTAGCTGTCATTCGGCTATAGCGTAGTTAGCAAGTGGTTAAAGGGACAATACATGGGAAGTGGTCACTAAAGGACAGAGGTGGATGAGCAGAGATTGACCAACTTAAAAGTACATGTGGCCTATTTATTGTAGGTCAATGAAGAAAGTGAGTGCATAGCACATGTATTGGTGGTGGGAAGTACACGAATAATTACACAACTTGAGCATTGCTGGGTTTAGGAAGGATTGTTGTTTCTGAACACTGGAACACTTGGTGTGGAGCACGGTGAAACGTGATTTATTGTGAGTGCACATGGTAATCGTAATTATTATTTTTGCCTAAACGATGTTGCACTATGAAATGTTTTTTGGAATTGTACTGCACATTTGGAGTGACAAAGTGAAGATATTTTTGGAGGAAACCTAGCTGCAGCATGAAAGAAGAAAATCTTAACCACAAGTGCATTTGACCTATGCTATTATGTAGGTCCAATTGTGAAGTGAGCAGGGAGAGTACTCACAAGGGAAGAAAATTGGTTTTGAAGCGGATGCCAGACACTTAATAAAGCACTATATTAGGACATTATATATGTGACTGGGACACTATTTTTGATAGATTTTATTTGTGGACTTATGTTTATTATTTTGTCTTTTGAGGAGATAGCACACCACGTTTTATATTTATATATTTTTTTTGTGTGTATGTATGTTTTACTGAACAAAAAACTATACTTTCCATATGAGGCAGGTTAAATGAAATTTCTGCCTTTAGTATAGCTGTGATATCTGCTGAATAGCTCATTGATTGCTTCCACTTCTTGGAATTGCTCTTAAATATATTTAAGTATAGTGCAATTCATTTAAAAGGCTTCCTTATCCAGAAAAGCCAGGTTACTTTTCTTTAACAAGGACAATACACTTCGCATATTGTGTATATGTTTTTTTTCTATTTAAAGACTATTTTTTTTATCCCTTTTTAAAATTCACATTCTTTTTGGACAGGATGATGCTCGTCAACTTTTTGTACTGGCTGGAGCTGCAGAAGAAGGCTTTATGACTGCTGAGCTGGCTGGAGTCATCAAACGCTTATGGAAGGATGGTGGGGTACAGGCCTGCTTCAACAGATCAAGGGAATATCAGTTGAATGATTCTGCAGCATAGTGAGTATTGCTAAAAGCAAGCAGCAACTTTGAGTGATTGTCCCTTATTGAGGTGAAGTCTGTCCATCAAAAGATCTTCACAGACAACTCACATAGGCTGTAAATGTGGATTCAGATATGTCCTACTCAACAAATAGGCTTTTGCTCTGACTTGTTACATATTGCATTTGCATAGAACTTCATTTATGTTGGTCATTTAATTTCTGATTACGTTTTTCTTACTACATATCTTCATACAAACTTGCTTGCTAAATTGTATTTGCCCATCATGTGGTGCTTCTTTCGCTATGTTAGCCCTATTGTGGTTTGTATTGTAACAATAATATAAGGGCGAATGTAAGTAAAGAGCAGTTAAGAAATAAATGGCTTGAGCTTTTGCTGATGTGTGATGGTTTATGAAGAGCCCCAGGCAGAACATCTGTTATAAAACTGGTGGCAGAAAAGTGAGGTGCCAATACCTCAAATGTGCAGTGCTCACAGTTCTATTTTGTTTTTTAAAAATATATGCGTAAATGCAGTCCGATTTGCTATATGATGTATGTATTTTTTTTTATTCCAGATATTTGTATAGAGCTTTACACAGAGCTATACATTAATCACTTCCCGACTACCCTATAGCAGATATACTGCTACAGGGTGGCAGGGGTGTGCAAAATCTTTGTGTATATGCGTGATTTTGTGTTTTACGGGTAGGGGGGTGCACACGAGCCACATGATCATTCACATATTTCGCATGTAGTAAGCAATGATGTCAGAAGTGACATCTTGCTTACTACTCTGCATGTGATCACTGATTGGCCAATTAGTGACCACATGATCGGGACCTCACACAGAGGTCCTGTACAACGATCGGTGTTCCACTGTGTCCGGAGAACATGAGGGCACTGGTTCGTTGTGCTGCACGCTCCCAGGGAGTGGGCACAAGCAGGGGACAGGGAGGCCGTTTATAAACAGCTACCCGCCTCTGCACTGCTCCCGTCTGGCTGTTTATATACATGGGCCGGACGGGAAGTGGTTAAACTGAATGTTCAGTAGGGCTTTAACTCAATGCACAGTCTGCGGGGAGTTGTGCTGTCTGGCTTGGATGTTTGGATTCCAAGACTGGGCAAGCAAAACTTTTTTTGAAAGGTTTAGACCATTTACTGTGTAATTAGCCGGTTGCCTTGAGATTAGTATTTAAGGATTAGTAACCCTAAAATTCATGTTGATTCATGGAAAAACTCCTAGGAACATCAATGACCTTTGAGAACTTTGCTATTCAGGTGTGCTGGTTTAAAGTGCATTATGTCATGTGAACATGCGTTCTGCTAAGGAAACCCACTCAAATAACTGGGCTAATAATGCACCAGAACATGCAGTATGAAAAGAAGACATGCAGAATTGTTTCTGATGCAGCACACCACAACATACAGTAGTATGTTAGCCATGCATTGTGCTGCACTGCAACACATTGACTTAGTGCATTGTAATGTCATTCATTTGACTGCTTTCTGATCCGATCCACCCAAACACAAGAGGACATATCCCCATCTGTTTCCTTGTTTATTGTTTTTGGATCGGACCTGGAAGTAGGCGGATGTAAACAAACACAAGTCAGTTTACCCCCTACTGTTCATAAGAATGCACAGACCTTCCGATCAGGTTTGTCTGATAAACTGACAGGTGGACCTGATCGGATCGCTCCTGTGAAAGGGACCTAATTGTTTTGGATCTACTTTATCTTGGTTTTTGTTCTTACGTTTAAACGGATATCTTAGGTTTGTTTATATGCAACTGTAGACAAAAATTTGTTGGCAACCTTCCACAAACCACCCCCCCAAAATTTTCTCTGATAATTTGAAACTGTTAAAAATAAAATTTGGATCCGTTCTTGTTCATTCATATTTAATGAGAATTCAATTTTGCTAATATGTACAGCAGGTAAAATGGGTATTGAACACGTCACCATTTGTCTAGGTAAATATCTTTCTAAAGGTGCTATTGACATGACATTTTCACCACGTGTCGGTAACAACCCATGCAATCCATACATATAAAGAAACCAAAACAATAAGTTCAGAAATTTAAGTTATGTGTAATAATATTGAATGACACGGAACAATTATTGAATACATTAAGAGAGGGAGGTGCAAAAAGGTATGGAAATCCAAAAACACCAGCTGAAATCTGTCAGTAATTAGGAAGCAGTCCTGCCCCCTGTCAGTGCAGATTAATATCAGCTGGATCAGTCTTAACTGATGACCTATATATTACCAAAATTTCACACATCTCATGATGGGTCAAAGCAAAGAGCTCTCTCAAGGCCTTTGCAACCTTATTGTTTCAAAATATACTGATGGCATTGGTTACGGAAGGATTTCTAAACTTTTGAATGTTCCAGTGATCACTGTTGGGGCCATAATCCAGAAGTAGAAAGAACATAATTTCACCATAAACCAGGTGCTCCTTGCAAGATATCTGACAGAGGAGTGAAAAGAATTACCAGAAGAAATGTCCAAGAGCCAAGAACCACTTGTGGAGAGCTTCAGAAAGACCTGGAATTAGCAGGTACAATTGTTTAAAAAAAAAAAAAAAAAAAAAAAACAGGCAATGCACTCAACCCCCATGGCCTGTATGCACGCTCACCACGCAAGACTCCATTGCTGAAGAAAAAGCATGTTGAAGCTCGTTTAAAGATTGCTGCACAACATTTAGACAAGCCTGTGAAATACTGGGAGAATATAGTCTGGTCAGAGGAGACCAAAATTGAACTCTCTGGGTGCCATAATACACACCATGTTTGGAGTTCAAATGGCACTGCACATCACCCCCCAAAAACACCATACCAACACAGAAATTTGGAGGTGGGAACATCATGGTGTGAGGCTGTTTTTCAGCATACGGCAATTTTCATATGATTGAAGGAAGGATGAATGGAAAAATGTACCAAGACATTCATGATAAAAATCTGCTATCTACCAGGATGATTATGATGATGAAATGAGGGTGGACATTTCAGCAAGACAATGATCCCAAACGCAAAGCCAAGGAAACACAGTTTGTTTCAAAAAGAGAAAATAAAGCTGCTAGAATGTCCCAGCCAATCGCCTGACTTGAATCCATTAGGAAATCTATGGAAAGAACTAAAGATCAGAGTTCATAGAAGAGGTCCACAGAACCTTCAAGATTTGAAGACTGTGGAAAAATGGGCCAAAATAGCACCAGAGCAATGCATGCAACTAGTTTGTCCATACAAAAGGGTCTTGAAGCTGTCATTGCAGTCAATGGATTTTGTACGAAGTATTAAATACATTTCAGGTAGCATGTTTAACCATTTGCTTACCGGGCACTTTCACCCCCTTTCTGCCCAGGCCCATTTTCAGCTTTCAGTGCTGTTGCACTTTGAATGACAATTGCGCTGTCATGCAACGCTGTAGTCATATGAAATTTTTATCATTTTTTTTTCATACAGAGCTTTCTTTTGGTGGTATTTAATCACCTCTGGGTCTTCTGTTTTTTGCTAAACAAACCAAAAACAACTGAAAATTTTGAGAAAGAAAAAAGTTTTCGTTCTTAATTTCTGTTATAAAATTTTGTAAATTAGTAATTTTTCTCCTTCACTGATGTGCGCTAATGAGGCGGCACTGGTGGGCATTAACAGGCATCACTGGTGGGCATTGACAGACATCACTGATGGGCACTGAAAGGCAATACTCATATATGGCACTGATAGATTGCACTGAGAGGCAGCTCAGATGGGCACTGATATTTGGAATTGATAGGCACTGGCAGGCACTGACAGGTGGCAATGATGGGGCTATACTGATCATCAGTGCCCTGATGATCAGTGTAGATGTCCTCTCTGAGAAATGTTGATTACCGACTCTTCTCATGAGCCGTCAGCGTGACGATAACAGGCATTTCATTATTTACATGCGATCAGCTGTGATTGGATACAGCTGATCACATGACAGAACCGACGTCATCGGCTCTTTCCGATGATCGGTGATCCGCTGTGTCCCAGAGACACAGCGCACCACTGAGCGCTGCGTGTCCCCAGGGTCGCGCACGCGCAGTTAGAGTGGGAGGACATCATATGACGTCCTCCCAGAACAAAAGAACCACCGCCCGTCCGTCATTTCCTTATATGGCGGGCGGGACACGGTTAATACTTTTCCCCTGTATCATTCCATTTTATTACACAACATAATTTCTGAACTTCTTTGTTTTGATTTCTTTGTATGTATGGATTGCATGGGTTGTTACCAACATGGGGTAAAACGTTTCATGGCAATAGCACCTTTTAGAAATGTATTTACGGAGAAAAATGGTGACTTGTTCAATACTTATTTTACCCGCTGTATATTCCCTTTTGCAAATTTATATAGACAAAAAAAATTACATTTGACTTTCTTGAGCAATTTGTAAAAAAGGAATGGATGACCTCAGCAGGTGTGGAACATACAGTACAATGTAAAATGTACATCAACAAAACATAATAAAATGCTAAAAAAAATGTGTTAAGTAGAATAATGAGTAAACTCTCTAACACTGGGCATGACCTGATCTGAGAGGATTTCAATAGGGAATAACAGCAGTCTGTCTGGTACATGTGTTGAAATTCACTATTAGCCATTCTCTGCGCTTTGCTTGATGCATGCACTAAGTTCTATGCAGAAGCACTGTAGGAGTAAAGGTTGTGTCAGGTCTGTGTACAAGTAAATATACCATGCATAAAATGCCTTAAATGCATATATATCGATTAACCTTAGCACCCACCTAATATGTCGACAAAACAGCCCTGACCCATCGAGGCACGGACTTCGCTAGACCTCTGAACGTATGCTGTGGTATCTGGCACCAAGATGTCAGTAGCAGATTCTTTAAGCCTCTGCTGGCTAGCCTTTTTCCCATACTGCATCCTAGTGGCATCTCTTTCCTAGGTAAACTATGCTCATGCACCTGGCCATCCATATGACGTACAAGAAAATGTGATTCATCAGACCAGGCACTTTCTTCCA